ATTGTGTGGTCTGAAGTGCGTCAAAACCAAACCCATAAGCCCAGTACGGGTTACTCGTCACCCGAATTCTGAATACTATGGCAACCTCAGAATGTTGAATTAACACACGAGTCGTCTGCTGATGGAGAAAAGCAGTAACTACTTGTAAGTACTCTTAGACACGGATCCTGTAGGATCCGAATCTATCCTGACATCCTTTGGACTGCGTGCAATCCAAAAGAAACATCGAAGAAGGACACAAAAATGTAAGATCGCATAAACGGAATCTTCACCTATGGCGTGCCAGAGCTTCGTTCTAACGAAACGCAACAGGCCGGAAAGCAGGAATTAGGACTGTGGCGGTTTATTCATGAAAAGATTTCCTTGGATAGTGTTGTGATGTTACCAATCAACAGGTTACTCTTCTCACCAAATTCTAGAGTATGTTGCCTTAGAACTTACAAAATTAGATTCAGTCAGAATAAGCTTCGACGGAGCTTAAGGATCAGTGTGGAAGAAAACGGAAAAGTCTTCCATCTAAACTTACGTTAAAAGCATCAAAAACATGCCAAGTTCAGATTTTATAGCATCTGAAATAACAAACAAACAGCCTATTATACCGGAGCTTAACATGCCTGTTCCTATAATCGACTCTTTTGTTGGTCTAAAAAGGAGTAGAACACACTTTGGCCAAATCGAGCTACAGACGAAGTATTCGTATCTTATCAAATAGCGAGAAGCGGCCAACCTGCAATCGGTAGGCATTCTCCATCCCTGACCGCTTTAACCCTCTGTGGGCTAGTAAGGACGGAGAAGTTAACCTACGTGTAAGCGAATGCCTCTTATTTTCCATAATCCAAGAAAACTGCATAATCGTCGAGTTGCCGGGTTAATGCTATCATCGGTTTCAGTGAGACTTGGCTAGATATTGGTAAGGCTGACGCTAAAGTTTCCCTACTTGGTATGTCGCTCATCCGGAACGATGGACTTATAAGACTAGGAGAGGTAATTGTATGTTGCCGAAACGAGTAACAGTGCGAAGCTGTGGAGGATACAATATCGCAATTTCCCATTTTCCTTTAGTGCCGCTTGCGGTGAAAAATCAGAATTGCTTCCCTTATTACCTTAGTGTAGAGCCTCCAACTGTTCATTCAAAACCGCTCCCACCTTGAGGCTGCTTTACGTCGCACCCTAATCAGAAATTACACTCTCATCCTTGTGACGGGTGCTTTAATTGCGCATTGTTTAGAAACCAATGCTACCATCGGTAAACAATCCAAAGCCGACTTGCAGTGGCTAGTACCTAAAGTTTCGCGTTACAATCAACACACTTTGCCTACCAAGTTCAGAAATAGTAACAGGCCACCTTTGCTGGGTCTCGTGCTTTCCAACGAGCAGCATCTGATTTTTATGTGTTGATTGTAGTCTACGCACAGAATCACATACATTGGATTCATTGGTTTTACCCTCAGTTGAAATGCGCAATATCGGAATGAAAACTATGAGACTAGCGAACCATCACACCCTACGACCGATTAGTCCAGCTCGTTAGCGTCACACTCTGCTGTTACTTGCCAAAGGACCACCGGAGTTCGCTTAGATTAACTTTGGCAACAAATTCAGTCGTTCGATTTAGTTCATCTCTGAATCCAGTGGATTATTCCAAACGTCTCTTTTAGGCTTCATTGTTACCAAGCATGTTGATGTATGTCACAGATTTATTTCACATACTTTTTTCACAGACAATTAATGATCCCTGTCACGCTCTGCAATAGGTCACCGAAAACGCGTTCCTTCTCATCTATCAACTCAAAAGTTAAAGTTCTATATAGACACATGGTTTCTTATCATAAGCCTGATTTGCCTTATTTTTCACACCTTCTGATGAACTCTACGAAGATCATTGATGCCACGCGTGAACGTTTGCTTGAGTGAATCTATGTATATTTCGTTTTGTTTATTTTACCATCTGCCTGTACTTGTAAGCAGAATTTTTACCCATCTTTTATCCGCGGTTCTTGTGTAAAATTGTGTTGAAAATATGCACAATCGAGTAGATAAAGCTTATTTTAACCTGTCCGACTAATAAGAGTTTGCAAAAGTTTAAATCGGTTTCCTCCGTTAGAACACTAAAAAATGTATAACAGTACGTAACGCGGCATCACAAGTTTAAAGGGTAGCTCTAACGCCAGAAACCTGGGATAACTACGTAGCCAACACAATCACTACACTCACCTGCCCAGCGAGAGAACAGCCGCATATGAACAGAAGGTCGCAAAAATCTTCCCTGCTAACCATAAGGTGCTGTACATGCTGCATGTCAATGACGGACTAAATGTGAGGCAAGGATTTCCTCCACTCAGAACGACTGATGGCCTAACAAGAAAGGCTATGGAAGTGGCAATCTCGCTGCGAATGCAATACACCCTCACGTTTAAGCTAGTCTTGCCATCGAGTAATATTCCAGCTTTCACCATCCCACCGTCAAGACTCACCCACATCTCTTTTACTGCTAAAGTTGTATTGCAGCAGCTGACCTATCTGCACAAAGGCAACTCCCCGGGTTTTCGTGCCATTCGTCCAGAGGAAATGGTAGAAACCAGAGAGCCAACTGACAATAGTTTTAGTTCGGTTTTTCTAGAGCTACTTAGACCAGAATAAGGTTCCTACTATGTGTAAGCATGGAACAATAACTTCGATTTACATAGATGGGTGCAGAACTGAGATCTCAAACTAGCGCAGATCACCTCTTCCCATATAATCTCCAAGCTCATGGAATCCATCATTGCCGATACGCTAATATGTTTTTCAAAAAAGTTCAACATTACACCTGTACAGCATGGGTTAAGTCGGCAGCGATCGTGCACAAACATTTTACTAATCGCACGCAACAGTTGGACCGAGTCAGCTATGGTGATGGATTTTCGAAAGCACTCGATCGCCTAGTTCATCGGATTCCCACTTTCTAAGCTCAAGTTTTGCGGATGGGTGACCCACTTCTATGCTGTTTTACCAACATACTGCTTCAATGGCAATTAGTGGCCCGAAATCGAAGCTCTTTTTCTCACCCCATACAAGTCAAGTGTGGTAGGTCGCAAAGCTCACTTATAGGTCTACAATTGTTTTGTTGTTTATTAAGAACCCCGCATAGGAAATCGCTTCAAACTCCCTACTGTTGGTAGACCATGTCCAACATTGGAGCCGATTCAAGTGAATGCCGACCAAAAGTTGTTTCGGAGTAGTCTAGACAAGGTAGATCAATGGTCCATCCAAAATTTACTACAATTCAACGTTGAAGGCCTAAAATAATATGAACGCGGGAAGGGGAATTTCAATACTAGAGTAGGACTTTGCATTCCGATGAGGTGAAGGTCAAGCCATACTTGCTAGCTTCAATCACCAAGCGGTTTATAAGCAACTGCACACTCTCTGGGTCATCAATCAGTGAGGCAACATCATCAGGATAGTCCAAGAGTGTCGTGCAGTTGCATGGAAGAAGCGCTATGCCAGAAAATTGGAGGCCTTCATGGGGGCTTAATCGGACCTCCACAATCGTAAGTTTTAAGAGACGGGAAATGTGGCATCCCTGTTGTCCACTGCTAGTAACTCCGAAAGATATATACCTGAGCTACAACTGCAGACTGAGAGACCATGGTCCCAAACTGGCAGAACAATGCAGTCGGCTGGAAGTTTTAAGGAATGTCTTCTCCCTACGTATGTTTCACATAAATAATTCACTACCAGAACCTGTTAGTTCTGTCCCCACATTAGCTATGTTCAGAAATGTTTTCAATGATGAGCTACTCGTGTTAAATCATATTATATGGCACGCATTAACTACACACCCATTCAGAAAAACGAATGCATTTCCCCCCAGTCGTCGTTACGTAAAAACTAAAGACCGTAACAGTTTGAATTACATAAAACCATACGTACAAGCTGGGGAATGACAAAATTTTACTTATAAAGTCTACTGCTTTGGTTTCGCTGTGTATAGTTATTATTCCTTTTCTTCTGAATAGCCTTTTTGTGATAATACTGGCTTTTCACTCTTAACTGATCTCAGGTCATTCCAAGTGATTTTCAAAACATCGCGGTCATCATTCGTTTATAATTCCTTTCGTTAAGTAAAATACGAACATCAGCCACTCCTACTCACTGTGCACCTGTTCAAAAGAGAATTATTTCGCAATAACAAAGATGCAATCACGGAAGCATGATCCCCATTTTCAAATTATTTGAAATCGTTTCAAATATGACCTCATAGAAGCTGATTACTACTTACCAGAATATTACATAAAAGAAGCAGGCTTGGTTTCTTTGGATGTGAGCTGTCAAAATGCAAATGTGACAACACCACATCTCTGGTATCATTTCATCAATACCTGGCTCTGTGAATTTTAAGGTATTTATAGTCCAACAGAATGAAAATCAATGTATGTATTTGCCTCATGTTTTTGTGATACCTTTTAGTAGTTTAGAGAAAATCGGTGCATACCTCAGGTGTTGTTCCTTCACACTTACCGCAAATGAATCAGATGGCAGAATTCCTAGATATGTGTCCATAAGGATGGTCTAATGAGCCACCAGATTTTGGTCCATAAGAAACGCAGCTCGTTTGCTATTTCCTGTTTCCCCATCTTTGACTATTTACTCCCGATGAGAAAATTACTTAAAACGTACAGGCACCTTTACACTGCTTCAGCAAATCCTTTGTCTTCGTCTCCAGTTCCAAAAGTTTTTGATTTAATTTGTCTTTACATATGGTAGACCGTACTACCGAGAATACCGTAGCTTAAATTCTATTTTATTAACAGGTAGCATTGGTTCACGTTGAGTTTAGAGCGAAATTTCGTTCTATATATAAGCATTTTACCTATTGCTAGTCAAATAGGTCACACGTGTTTTGCAGCCCAATAGGTGCTGAATGCAAAGTATTACTTGCCACAGGTTCTGGAGGTCATACAAATTCTCTCCCGTCAATAATGTACATACACATTATTCTATTGTTTAACTTGCAGCCTGAGCAGGCCACAGTCAACCAGCAAACAGGCGATTTAAACAATTGATTCTTCCACTTCCTTGTTGAACGCTGACATTCGGTTCGAATCCTATGGAGCGCTTTGGATCGTTGTGCTATGTTGCATTTTTGCTGCAGCGTAATTCCATTTTCTGTGCTCTGACCGAGTGACCCGCTGTCGAAGCTTTGTCATTTGAAAGTGCTGTACGTTGAAAGTTTCCAAAAGTAGCTTGTGTCGTTTATGTTGTGAATGTGGTTGGTCCGTACAAAATTCTCATCCGTCTGTGCCTCTAAACGTTCACACACTATTTGTTTGATCTCTCTTTTTGGTTCACACAAAATTCAGACATCCAATGGAGAATTTTATTTCAATAAGTTTGACCATGTGATTTTGTCCCCACATCTTTTTGTTGTGAGGAAAGTGTCGGTCCAAATGGCTTGAGTTCTCAAAAATTATGGATCGGACCTACACAAATAATTATGGTTTATGAAAAAAGCATCGTTGCTGAAAGCAACTTAATCGAGAGGAAAGCCAAGGGCTGCTTGACCATTAAAGTGACGTTTACAACAAATCTTTGTCATAACCTGCATCCAATAAATAAAATTTGCGAACCTAATGTGTGGTATCGGTTAGTGAATTTAGTCTATGTTCTATTTTGTCCGCATTGCACTCTGCAGAACAGATGTAGATGTTGTTTAGGATGGTCAGCATACCTGGTACACACAAAATCGCGACTCCCACATGTGACAAAAATCCTTAAATTAGTTGCGTGATTCGAGGCAATGAATTATGGAAAGTGCATTGAATTATCAATGAATAACCAAATATAGCTTTCGCTCACTATGCCTAGCGCTTCCTTAGAGGCATAGTCATGAAGGTGCAGTATTTCACATTAGCTTTATCAAAGGCTCATTAGAAAGTTAAAATTCTGGTCATGTTTTGAGATTTAGTATAACATACAATGATTAACAACTAAAATATTGGGGTTGTGTTGTCCGATATTTGACAAAACTGACAAAGGTGTTTCAAGACAATACTGCAAATAACGAATTAATGGTCGTGTCTGAGCGGCTGCAAGAAATAGATGACCTCGAAATGAGTTCACAGGCGAAGAGGAAGTTTACTCGGAAGTTGCATTTTGTGCTCAAGTAGGTGCCACGGATTTGCGGTTAAATCAAATTCTTGATATTCGCAGTCTCCACGTCTGCAAAATTTGGACGTTTTCTGTTAGGTCTTTTTGACATGCTTAGGGGGATGATCAACAGTAGCTTGAGTCTCGATAGCTGCATCATGAAGAAATTTCTTCCGAAGTTTCTCGATTATAAATGGTAGCGTTGCATTGAACAAGAAATGTTACTCGCCACATACACACTAGGTCATAACCGGGAAAGCGCTAAATGAACGTCTCCTTCTTAATACATTTGTTGGCAACATGTATTTGTTGTCTCCCGTAGAATTAAACTGTGCTCATACGCTTATGGTTGTATAGCAAAAATTTAGGTGCTACGTGAATTAGCCGTAACTGTAGAGGGCGAGCTTGTTGCAGTTGATGTATTGCCTTCTGTTTTTCCGCTTCCAAAATGGCGATGGATTTACAGAACGGATTGTGCAAGCTTACCGCCTCCTGGTAATATTTACCTTACTGCTCAGCTTGCTGCCACAATGCTAATTGTTCGGACGCCCGTCGTTAGAGACCGAGGGGCATTTAGCAATCACCTGACTGGTCGCATATTAAATGTGGTCTTCTCTGTCACAGAGTTTCACCTCTTCCTCTTCATCTAGCACAGTTATCATGGTTGGCGGCATCCGGTTTCGGATTTGCCTGTCACTGTGGCCAGCCACAGGACGCCTGCGCCTACAGAGGGACCATGGGTGGCTTGCGCTGCACCACCCACAGCTCCAACCACAAACCACATATCCAGTGTAAACCCGGAGGTAAAAGACCGGGTGGCATGTGGATGGGAACCACATTTCATCAACGGAGTCGGCCCACACTCTTTCACAGGCAAACACAAGCACACTGTATTTGGGGAATCAAGCGCACACAAGGCGGTGAATGGACCGTAGTCCGCTCCACACTGAGTGCATGGAACCACTATTCGAGCCTAGCACGACCACAAGGTCCGTGCACCCCGTCCCCTCCAGAAACGACCAACTATCTCCTAGAGACAATATGGACGAGGTAGTGGGTAATAGACAGGTAGATACCTTGTCAACATGCACATCAAGCGCAGCTACACCGGGGATGTCAAACAACAGCCAATCACTTGAAATAACAATACTAGATAAAATATATCTCTTAAAGCACACAGCTATGCAGACATAACTCTTCCCTAAATTAGCATATGAAGTATGTTGGTTAGCAACAAATCCGCGATAAGTAAAAAATGTCCAGAAGTGACTCAGAAAATGCTACAAACGCAATAAAGTTAACGAAGATAAGCACAATTACCGTAAGCAACGTGGAAATTTAATAGAAGATTATTCCTGTAGGCCGAACAAATCAAATGTAGTGGAATGAAATTTATTCAGCTTAAAAAGAGACCTAATTTAAGTGTAACTTGGTTTAGCCCAACTGCGGTGAAGAAGCATCATGAATGCAACATCAGCCTCAGCATGGGGCAAATATATATATATATATATATATATATATATATATATATGTATATATATATATGGCTGGTTCGGCGTGAATCTGCGTAAGTTTAACATTCTCTCCCTCCGTACTGTGGCGAAGTGTACTGAGCTGGAGAAGGCGATGGCCTCACGCCTGTGTGATGTGGAATGCATAGCCACAGTGGGCGACCTGTCGCATCACAGTTATCATACACTCATTCGAATCGGACTTACACCCCGTGTCCTGTGAACATATTGTTACGGAAGTATTTCCTGTGGAAATTTGTTTGTGCTATTCAAGTTGTTTTAGCGTGCTCTGTGCTTCTGACCAGAAGCGCCACTAAGCTGCATTTTAGTGATTTCACTGCTGTGACACTATGAGCGATCAAGGATTTTCCGCACCATCTGTTGGTCCTAGAATTACATCCGTATGATCATTTCAAAAGGAGGTACGACTCAATCTGTAGTTTCAAGTACATTCACCTATCGCAAGCCATTTTCGCTAACATCCACCCACTACAAACCGATTTCAACGGCTTTGTCCTACAGGAAACATTGTGGATCAATAATCTTGCCAAACTCCGGGTAAATGTGTCCTCGTCGTGACACATTCACCTACGGTACTTTATGTCGGGAATGTGACCGAAACAGAGAACGTGAGCGTCGCACCCGTTACCTTACGTGACCAGACAACGACAGCGTTCGCCTGCAACCAATCGGCCGGTGGCCGAGTGGTCTGCACGTTTGCTTTGCAACCGGTTCGAATCCGCGTAGGGGTGGGCGTCCTCGCGTTATACTCAGCCCGCGTGCGACTGGTGGTGGTCGCGCGGCAGCGAAGCGCCGTTACGGCGTACAGCTGACACATTATCATTATTATTTATATTAAAATGTAATGAGCAAAGTGTGAACCCCCAGTTAAAAGAGGCAATATTTGTTACTTTTGCGGCCTTCCGTTACTCCACAGCTGTCGACTACAATATAAGTGACAAATCAGCCAGACTGATTCGCTCTGGTTTTGTCGAACATGCAGAGCAATCCCAACATTTAAATGTATAATGTCGCTCGTGAAAAAATGTGCGAAACTGGCTGCAACTCTCCAACGGATTACGAGCTTCGGGGCTTCGCCATTAGGATCTAACAAATCCGATCTTGTTCTACAACAAAACCTTTATCAAGGCAGAGAGATGATAGAGGTTGCGATAGGCCAATATTTCGTTTGTTCTCTTCACTCGCAAACAGAATGCGAGCGAATAAGCAAACGATTATATACATGGCCAAAATAAGCAACACCAATCAAATGTCATAGTGAAGACCATGGCAAGCGAATCGAATGCCTCAAGCCTTCACAGCATTGTCCCCAATTCGAAGGCTAAATTCTGTCTTACTAACCATCCAACGGCATCTGCGTCACCTACTCCGATAATCACTAACCCTTTAAGTAGGCAAGCTACATCAGGCGTGACTTCTATTAACGGATCCCTGGATGCCATAGCTCACGAGTTGGTCACAACCCCTATAGTCCAGAGCAGCATCGATCACCTCTATTAAAACTCCCACAGAGACACCTGTACGTCCATCTTCTGTACTAAGTACGAGGGATACAACGCGGTTTTCACAACGTACTTTAGTGCTCGCCGAACAATCCAAGTTACCAGCCACAACTCCCAAACAGACATTTGCTAAATAAAACCACGGTGCGTTAACGGTCGTGTGCACTAACGTTCCCGAGTACAGACCTGGCACATTAAAAGACAAGTTGGTAGCTGGTCGTAACCAGTTAAAATCCATCTGCGCGGCGATTTATATTCAGATTGACCCAAGTGGGTTACGACACATAGCGCGTCATCCAAATTCAGTGCACTACAGCGAACCCGATTTCTTCGAGTAAGTTGACCTCATCTGCGGAGACAGAGATAGTCGTACTCTTAGCAGTTCATCTTCGCTACTCATTAATTGGGGTATGCATACGACCTGCAATTCTTTGGAAAGGAAGGTCAAAGGAAAAGGAAAGCCATGACGACCGTCCTAAGGACGAAAGCAAGCAAACCGTACTTTTTCATAGTGTTCCTGAACTACTGTGCTCTCCTGATCACTAAGCGCAACAACATGACCTACAGCAGTTTCGCTACATCCGCGAAGCACTCTCTTAAGACGATGTTATCGCTAAGTCATTAACAAGAAATACTTCATCTCAAAACCACAACGGTTGTTTTCCAAAAATATTGAAAATCGTGCTAGTCTGGTATAAAATGACAGAAGACCTATTGGACAGATGGTTAAGGCATCACTCCAGCTTACCTACCGAGAGTAAAATAAAGATATCAACTGTACGGCCACTACTTGTCAGCACTTAGTTGGAACATGCAATCTCAATAAAATATGTGCCTCCGCAATCCTGCAGATTGTTGGACAATGTAGAATTCGCAATGCCTGAAAGGACAGGAATAAATATTAGAGAACAGCTCGATCTGGAATGCTCCGTGCTACCATGCAGTCTGCCTGAAATTCAAGATCAAATGAGCCACGTAGAAAACGATTAGCGACCGACCGACGAATGTCGGCTTAAAACTACACATGAATTTATAATGTCTGTGTCCCAGCTACTCACATGCCACAGCTTAGACCCGAAAAGCACCAGACGCGTTTCGCCCTATGGGACCCCGGGGGAATGCGCACCGCTGACGAACCCCAATACTGCAAACGTGCCTGGTGCTCTTTCTAGTCTGTACTATATAGCTTGCGAACCGTTGGCAAGAGAGCATTACAATTAAAATCCTCCTATTCATCAGTATACACGAGTCTGTTGTCCACCCACACATTTCTAAGATCAAAAACACTATCATGTTTGTATACTAACCTTCAAGGTCTTCTTAGTAGGTTCGCCGTACTTAGGGAAAGCCGAGTGTCAAAACCGCAGGATCGCATTATGTATACGCAGACTTGGTTAAGCTTTAAGATAGCAGATTCTGAAGTCAAATTATATGGTATATCGCTGCTTCGGAATGACAGAATTGGAACAGGTGGTGGCGTAATTCTGTATTACAAGACTAACCTCCGATGTAAGCTATTTGACCACTTAGAGATCCGTGCCCCAGATTCGCTTTGGTGCCAGCTATGTTCGCGGAACAAAGACACATGTCTTATACTTCTAACTTGCCGTCCACCAAACTCTACTTGTGCAATGGACTCCAAACTAAACCAAGTTCTCCAGGTTGTTTTGAGCAAATCATATAGTCACATTCTCAGCGCAGGGAAATTTAATGTGCACGACCAGGAAATAGCAGCGGACGACAGCATACAGTTTAAAACCTAGTTACAAGAGGTGATTTCTAGCTACCCTTTGTACACTTACATGACCTCTCCCACCAGATTTCGAACTGCTAACAAGCCGTCGATACTGATCTTTTGCCTACCAACGATGAACTCATTGTGGACGGAGTACTTGCAAGCATGCCACTGGGTCGCAATAACCATGTGACTCTACTGTCTAACTATGTATGGAATGCGGAATATCCCGAGGAAAAGGATGATAAAGTTTATATGGTCAGACACTAGAATGTGTTAGCCGCGCTTGTTAAGGAGTTATTTTAGACCTTCCTAAATGACGGTCCCCCAGAAAAATCCTAGGATACTTTACAAGAACATTTACCCCACTGGTAACACACGCTTCTGAGCAGAAATCCTTGCATCATCAAAGGGGAAGAAAGTCATTTCTGTGGGCAAGAACACGCAAACACATGTGGTTGAGCGAATTGGCATATAGAGCTCACTAGGAATACCAGGATTTTGAAACCATGACTGCCTGTTATAACACAGCGTAAATTCTGTGTGAGCTTGATCCGCGAGGACAAGCTGACGCATCAGTAGGAATTAATGAGCATACACTGCGCGAACCGCAAACTCTTATACAGGCATGTTAATGGCATCCGTAAGGTGGAACGCGGAATTCCTACACTGATCACGACTGACGGGTGCACGCGATCAGCAACGGAAGCAGCCGATCCCTCATGGTTCCTTCACCCACAAACGTTCCAGAGAGTAACGGGCCCAACGGTTATCCCTGTTTCTATGGTCCCACCGTCAAATTTATTTACTATCAAATTACTGCAGATACTGTGTTAACGAAACTGTTGTCTCTGCGTATCCACAGTCTTCCTGGTGTCTGTAACATAGGACCGAAGGTTGTACAGGCAGCAGCCAGTGATCTGGTGGAATCTCTGGCTATATTCCATAACCGCTGTATAGAGGAGAACCATATTCCAACAATATTGAAGCGAGCGGTCATTATTCACATGCATAAGATAATCAGTCGCAAAGACCCAAGCAATTACCGTCCGATAACGCTACTCCCTGTGCTTTCCAAAGTTATGAAGTCTATCATCGGTGATGTGCTCATGCATTATCTGGATAATCACAATATGATAAGACCGGAGCAATATGGCTTCCGACAATAACTCTCATGAACTACGAACCTGCTAATTGCACTCAGTAGCTGGACTGACGCAGTTGATGATGGAGCAGGAGTCGATGTCATTTAATTGGACTTCTCAAAGCATTTGATCGCTTAGACCACCGAATTCACCTCCACAAACTTCAGCTCCATGGCGTTGGTTACCCACTGTTGCGTTGGATAGGCAATTTGCTGCACAAACATCTGTTGGAGGTGAGAGTACAAGAATCCCTGTCATACGCGATTGAGTTGGAGTGAGCCCTACCACAAGGGTCGGTGCTCGTGTAATTCTGATTTTCATAAACGATCTGGTGAGAGAAATTACTTCCTATTTCCTATTCTTCGCGGATGATATCAAGTTATGGCGAGCGGTCAAAGAATCGAACGACCATGAAAAGCTCCAGCGTGACCTTAACATGATTTCAAACTGGCCACCTTTGAAATACACTACCGTTTAATGTGGAAAAATGTTACGTTGTTTAATTGCGCTATAGGCATGAATATATGTAGAGGCTTGAGTCACATGTACTTCAAATAACTTCCCAAGAACCTACCTTGGTTTGCCCATTCAAATTGACCTTAACTGTTCAAAGCAGTCAGAGGCAGCTGCGAAGTAAGCCAAAAGCACGTCAGCTTGCTGCGGAGAGCACTTGGATGATTCAACACATCCATCTTCCCCATGATGCACAACTCTTACATGCGCCCTCACGCCATCCAAACTGGGAACCTTGGTTGAAGCGTGACTTAGAAGTGCTAGAGAAACCACAACACAGGACCACGAAGAAGGTCAAGGGCCAACGAAATCTGCCCTAACATCAAAGGCCGAAGTCACTGCGAGTTTCCAGTGACCGCTACCGAACGATGCTCGGCGATCTCATATTAGTCTACGAAATATTGTGTGACCTTTATCACGGATGCCGTCACTTGCTAAAACAACCATAACACCAATCCTAGAGGTAACCCTCTGAAATTGTGTTCACAGTATATTCGCCTGGAATGCCGGCGGAATTACTTTTCTCTTAGGGTTTTCCAACCCTGGAACTCTTTTCCAAACTTAGTTGTTTCCTCCCCACCTTGGATGTCTTCCAAAAAACGATTGTTTCGTTCCCTTAAGACGCATCATTTCGTTAGCTAAACTGTGCTACTTTAGAATATATTAATTTTCCCTTCAAAATGGATTAACATGTCACCTAAACCCTAGGAAGCTGTAGAGAAGGGAGTATTCTCGTTCTGAATTTTTTCACGGAGTATATCAAGTATAACTACGCCATATTGCCTCATCCTCAGCATTTAATTCCCACTTACACTACTATTCTTCAGCAGCATCTGCTATATAAAAGCTCAAGCCCACAATGCACATATCTTTTGATATTTTCACTTTAACCTCACCATCCTGAGGGATTTTCAAACCAGAGCTATTTACCTGGCATAAATCAGTGATCGCTGATTATTTTCTGATCCTTGATATTCATTTTGCTCTCCAATCTACATCTGTAAACAGTGTCGGTAAGTTGACATCTGTTGCAATGGAGACAGTTGCATACTTAGTTTCCCACAGAGATAAGCAATCTTCTGTCCAGATGTAAACATTTGAAATCTTCCAATGTATTGGTATTATTATAGACAATGCACTCTGAAAGCAACTGCGGGTAGAGATCGTTGGTCAATGCGACTCTGGACGGGAATAGCTGCTTCGACTTCCGATATATATTGCACTAGATAACACAACAATCTTTGTATGTGGTTCTCCACGGGATTTGAACGAAAGCACAAAAGTATAAACCAGCGATTCTTGCAGAAACATCAAGTATGATGAACCTCAGCTAGAACAGCCAGTAACCATTTACATGTTGCTTATTATTACCACTATCCATAAACCGGATTTCCATGATCTCGACTTTTAGGTTGATCGTGAAACTGCATTGTGAAAATTAAAGGAGTCAGAGTTTGTTTTAATCCAGCTGGATGCAAACATTTCTGTTTTATTTTGCTGGTTACCATCGGTCGTTTTTCAGCAATTTAAACATAAACTCAGCACCAACGAAACAGTAGCGTTTTTAAAATTTAGCTCCAAACTACTTGGGCTAAATAACCAATTAGCGCATTCAAATGGTTAAAGGCGAACACAAACACATGGCTGTACAAGCGTTTTACCGGTCCAGCAAAATTTTGGGTGGATGAAAAGTTCCATGCATGAATTGAATACAAAAGCTGTGTAGGTTTAAATTCGGCTTCAGGAAATCTGAGCAACTTCTTTTGAATGTTTCCACGCTAAATACGCGGCACCAACGCAGTCTTGCAGACTAGGCCTTGTTTCACCCACTGTTTCAAAAATAGTCGTGTAAAGAGAAGCAAGGCGTGTGAAAAAGAAAAGATCGAGAGTAACTAGAAAGACGCAAACACTTAGTAAAATACAGTTTGCTCCAAGGCGGTTTGTAAAACTCTGATCTGAGCACACCGTTGAACGAAACTGTTCAAAGACCCAAAATAAATTGTCACATGGCACGATTGTCTCTATAAACGGTTGAAATTGCGCTTTCAGTATGTCATTTACATCGTCTAGCAAAATGATTGCGTTTATTCTAAAAATTGGCCGAATAGGAGCGATCACTAACGATGCGTTTGTCACAATCTAAAAGGAAGAAAGCCGACAGTTAGTAAAACTTCGGTGATTAAAACGCGCGATTTTACACTAACAATGCATTTGAACAGGACTTCTTGAGAAATTAACATGTGCATTGTCGAGAATAATTACTGAGCAAATTTATGTGTAGAGTAATAAAACAGTGTTTTCCAGCCAAACGCTATAAAAAATATATTGCGTTCTTTTAATATTATTGCGCTCCATCTTAACAATCTATTTCGATGCCTAATATACTGTTCTTGCCGTTAAAAATTAACGTTATAAAACGCCGTTTAACTATTTACTTCTGGATTTTTAAATCTTATAACTTAACGCATAATATATAGCTGAGAGTAAGTAGAATATGGCATCTCTCCCATAATCTGCAACGTAAGCTTTGTTCCTATTTTGATTCTAGCTCAACCAGATTGTCTTTTGCCTTAATAATAACTATGGCATCTAGAGAGCTCCAGATAGCCTGTGTTTCCTATTAGAACACGTCAGTAGAGAGCACCTGCCGGATACTCCCGGATTCGAACCTATGAGCTTACTGTCACGAGTCCGGAGACTGTTACCACTTAGCCATAGTTGGCAGCTGCGGATCACTCAACCTGATTTCTTTTTGCGATGCAGTGCAGCCCACCTTCCAATGTGCATGTTATAGACAAGCAGACGATAGACATTCTTATGACTGCGAAAGATCTCAGAAAATGCAAAAAATCCCCTAACTACGTACGAATAAGCGCTAATCGTCTCATCAGCTTAAATGCCACCTCAACTGGTGGTAGCTTGAAAACGCAGTTTCAAATCTGTGACCTGCCTTGTCCTCTGCACCTTCATAGCATGCATGAGAGTGGATGTTGCACCGCGCTATATGGCCGAAAGGAAGCTATCATGAAAGCGCACACTATCACCCATCGCTCAGTGGCTTCATTCGCTTGTCCTTAAGAATAAAGCTGTGGTTTCAAATGTGGCAGTATCCGGCGGATGCGCGCTACTGACAATGGCGAAACTATTGTCTTACACTTTCCTAGGTGTATTGGTTATATGGCGGAGTCTAGCTGCGACTAGCATTCTTCGACAAATTATTCATCAATCTAACACTGAGGTACAACATAGTTTGTATTCGTGCATAACAGTTGGAATCCTATTTTATTACTGTCCGAAGAAGCGCTTGAATCATTAAACCGTCATAGAAGTGTCGCTGTTATGCGCCGTTGAAATGCGCAGGTCGTTGCAAAACGAGAACAATAGTCCGGTTATGAGGGTGCACAAAACTTACCTTCCTTGCATCGCCAACTCTATCTAGTAGATTGTCCATCAGTTGGTTTAACATTTGGTTACCAATCAATATTTTGAATTGTGCAGCTAGCTCGCGTGCCGTATCAACCGCTTTGTTATACTCGGGAACAGAATCGTTGATCAGCGTAATTACTGAGTTCAAAGACTGGCTTTCAACGCTCACAGGGATGGAGGAAACGAACGTATTCAACGAAGTAACGTAGCTCTCCAAACTCGGCATTGGCAAAAACTGCTTTGATAGTTCGTCGTAAGAAGACTGAAAAGGAAATTTTCGCAATATCAAAGAGCTATGAGTTATTTCCCAGGCAAGGTAACGGTTTTTGTGATTGAGTACTTTTGGTACCGGGAAGAAACATTAGCATGGCTACAGGTATTCCATTATTCATACATATCGACGTTAAGTTAGAGCTTTGTTGGCACTTTGATGGATGCAACTATATTGATGATTGCAAAAAATACCCAGTAAGTACTGGGTGGATTTATCGGGTTTGATTGAAGATTCGTCGCAGATAGATTCAGGGTATCTAAGTCTAGAGGCGACGAATCTACACTGCGAGGAATGTCCAATGGATAGTTTATGTTCTGTCACTTGTATAAACATGTTGTAAGAAAACCTCCAAATGTGTGTAGAATGCAGATATATTACTTTGAATTGCGGCAAAATACAAAGCTTGAGGCATATCCTATTAATTTTATGTGTGTTTAATCCTTTGAAAAATGTTCGTAGGGCCTGTAATGCACATTTTAATCTAAACCAATGGGACTGGCCAATTTGTAAACTAGATAACTATTATAATTTATTCTATTGGGCTTGCCTAGTTACAACCTAGTCATCTATTTTCCTTGTATAATTGTATGATAAATAGCATGTGTTTATAGCTCTCATCAAAGCTTCGTTTCTGGACTGCAAGTTTAGAGATTCTATAGTTCCGGGAATTTCAGGCTTCAATTGTCTGTACCATTAATTCCAATTAACGCTAACATTGTCTGTTTTCAACTTTGACACCCATCTCAATAAGCAGTCAAATTCATTTATCAGATCAGCGCAGTTGTTTGAAAGCTCATCTATCGGCTTCCAGGCTCTGACGCCTGTGGGCTGCCACTCAACTGTATTCATCGTGTAATCCATCGGGTATCAACTTTAATATATGCATGCAACTGCGTAAATATAAAGTGCTTGATTAGCTGTCTTCGAAACAGATTTGGGTCCCGACAAAACGTAGCCTAAAAGTTGCAAAATAATGTTACTTGTGCTGTGTCACACGGCTTTTACCGAAATGCCAGTGTATTTGCCCTTCACTTAACATACCTGATTTTAATTGATCTTCCTTGTACCATGCAACATAATTCAAGGTAGCGTATGTTTTCCTAATTTGATTAGAATTAAGGAAGTTTGCATAACTTTGGTCTTGCAATTCTTAACAATACTATCGGACGCACAAACAAGGAATCATCTGGCTGAAGATTATCAAGCTCCATCGTCCTCGTTTGGAAACCAGCGGGTATTATGCGAAAAGCATTGGTACGATGGTCGTATTGCAGTTGTGTTTAGGCTTTTGATTTACGTCATTCTGACAAACCAATGAAATAGAACGTTTTTGCCTCTACAGAACGCTCATTGTTTACCTGTTTACAAAGCGATAAGTGATTACATATTCAAGTGCATACTACTAACCATTACCACATCTATCTTCCTTGAATTCAAGACATTAGTTCCGGTTCATTTTACTATTAGGGCCAAATATTTTCATATCAGGTAATCCAACTAACTTCCTTTCCAGAATGATATATCGAAACCGCGAATCCGAATCCAGTGGCCAATAGTCAAAAGGAAGGTGACTAAAATCACTACGAAAGAGCTCTGTGTATAGTGCTCTATTTTGTTCACCAGTGACACCTGGGTAGAAATGATCCGTAGAATAGCGTTAGTGTTGCTCACTCGAGGGATAATCTCAGCAAGGAAAAGACAAAGGGCTTTCGACTCAGAGGAAATTCTGTAAGTATTAGGATAAAAATATTGAGCTATACTGTTTACTGTGAAGTGCTAAATATCAAGCACAGAATACTATCGGTTTGCATTAGCATCAAATATACCTGGTATTATTCAATGATACTCCTAATTTGAGTTGCTTCGTCCCATCAGAATGTAACAGCATCAAAATTGCTTTTAATTTACCGAGATAAAGTCAAGCTTAAGGATTCATCCATCCAAAGGGATCATTGTTGTTGTGTTGATAACCCTCTGCGGAATTTTCATAACAATAAGCCACTTTTCTCGCAGTTGCTTGCTCACCGTCATGCAACTTCTAGACTAGTTGATGTATTCATTTACATAAGAAAGCAGTTTTTGCAAAATCTTCCAAATGCGGATTCTTCCTTGCGGAAAAGTGGTTTTAAATAAAAGGCATGAATGTTACAACTAGCTTCTACATCTTACTCCCATCTGATGATGTTGATTGCCAGTTTGACTACCTAGCCAGCTGACATACACTGGTACCACACTCAAAATGGTGAGTAGAGTACAGATTAAATCCGCTAAACATAGATTTTATAAAATTCAACCTCCAACTAACTCATACCAGCATCAATAGCCAAAATTTAAGTGTAGTTTCTAACTGTGCATTGGCGTTGCTAAATGGTCAGAAACATTTTGTACTAGTGTGTGGCTAACACTGCGGAACGTCAATTTGATAACAGAAATGAGATTAGAAGTTTCTACTGGTACCAAGTGAACTGATTGCGAATATGCAAACCAAATGTTTCTATCCAGTCGGGTTATTTGATTTCAATTTTTCACTTCAGTCAAGCAGTGCGTTAAACGCATCGAATGCTCGCCGGTGATTCGTCCATTGGCTCCCTGTAATCGCGGTAAAGAAGTCATTTTGGCCGTGGTATCCACCTGATACTGGAAGTCGATAGAGAGCTGTGTTTCCTTAACTGATGTCTGGACCATAGATGGAAGACGCTGCTGTGTCAAAGACCAAAATCATTTTTGCTACTTAGTGATCAGATTACCACAAAGTTGTAGTGCAGACTCATTTCTTCACTACTGTAGTCTGTCTACCACGTCTATTTCGGGATGAAAATTGGAGATCAGGATAAGAAGTGTGCACCGCAAATAGTTAGTATGTCGCGCAATCTTCACCTGACTCACTGGTTCAAGGGTAAAGGCAAGATAACCATTGCAATCCCCATGGTGTGCAAGGAGCTGAAAAATCACACGACAGATTGCTACTTCTGCCTAACCAGTGCCATTGGAATCTACAACCGAAACAAGGACAACATTCATTACCCCCATCTTCCATCAACTATACGACGTGTTCATCATAATTGCCCCTTAGCCATTCCAGTGCTACCAGTGAACATGTCACTGATGATTAGTAGTGATTCCGCATCGTCAAATTCCCATGATTCAGATATGTGTGAAAAATTGAAGCTGATGTTGTTAACCCAAATTTTATTGAACTATCAGAGCTGAATTTCTTGGAACATGTTATGAGTTTGCCTGAAAACAAGACCGAGTGGCTCGCATCTCGACTGAAGCAGTGGCACTTACTTGCTGCAAAACACTAAAGTTTGTGTATACAGAAAGCAAAGCGTTAACTTTTCTGTTTTCTATGACTTGAGTGAATACTTGTGTTACTGTTTCGTCGTGGAAGGAGTGATGAAAGAGCTTGGTATGAGACATATTAGTGTTGAATGTCGTTTGTTTATTGACTCGTCCAAGAGTAGACTTAAGGCCATACTGCGCCACAATGGAAAGGTGTACCCGACTGTGTCTCTGCTACATCTCACCAATATGAAGGAAACTTGTGCCAGTATGCAACAGATAGTGGCTGCACTGAACTACGATAAGTAATGCTGGAACATCTGCTGAGTTCAGAGTCTGTGAACTCTTAATGGGTATTCAGGGAGGCTCCCAAAAATATTTGTTTCTTGTGCTTAAGGGATGGGAGAATAACTCAGCAGCACTACACATCCGAAAAGTGGCCAGAGAGGACGGAGAAGCTGCAGGGACTATAAGCGTTATGCATCCAACTCTTGGTGAAACCTGATCTTATCTCTCTACCACCGTCGCATATCAAGCTTGGTTTGAGTAAAACCTTCTTCAAATAATTCAAGCGAGATTAAACAATTTCAATGTGGCTCTCTCCCATCCCTGCACTCCACGACCGACGGTTTCGTCTTGGTCTAGACTCATCAGGTAGAGATAACCGAGCTGGGGTTGGACCTCGGCGCATAGTGCTTGGCGGGTTGCGCCATAATCACTAGGCCATTGAGCTCCGCGAGCAGTGTTTGACACAGCGGTTAGAAGTAGATTTTCGGGTTTTTGGAGCACCTGAAATGTTTCTCGGATTGCGACACGCAACCTCACTAGTGGCGTCGGTTGACTTTGAAGTCAGCCTCTGCCAATACGGTCACTGGGACCGTCACCGAAGTGGACGGTTTCGGTATGGCTCTCTCACATCCCTGCACTCCACGGCCGACGGTTTCGTCTTGGTCTAGACTCATCAGGTAGGGATAACCGAGCTGGGAGTGGAGCTCGGCGCATAGTACTTGGCGGCTATCGCCATGATCACTAGGCCATTGGGCCTCGCGAGCAGTGTTTGACACAGCGGTTAGAAGTAGATTTTCGGGTTTTTGTAGCACTCGCCGTGTCTTGTATTGCGACGCGCAATCTCACTAGTGCAGGAATGAGAGAGAGCCACGCCGAAACTGTCCACTTCGGTGACGGTCCCAGTGACCGTATTGGCAGAGGCTGACATCAACTCAACCGACGCCACAGGTGAGATTGCACATCGCAAGCCAAGACACACGGCGAGTGCTCCAAAAACCCGAAAATCAAGTGAGATTTTTTAAAGTTCAAGTATCTGAAACAAGGGTTTAAGAAGATCAGTTATGCGATGCTTAAAGAAGGGATACTTCTTAGGCCTCATATTTGCTGGATAGTGGCAGAGTGGACCTTCGACTGCCAGATGACTTTATTTGAGCCAGAAGCATGGAGATCATGCTATATATTTAAAAGGTAGCAATTTCATATATTTGTTGCTGGATAATTTTTCGAAACGTCTTGCATTGTGGACAGATTTTAGAGCCCAGTACGGACTTCATGCCAACAGGTAACTCTCCATGAAAATGTTTCATGAACCACCGTTTACATGGTACAATCTGAATGCCATACATGCATGGTATGTCGAAGAAATCCGATCGACTTATTTACTATTCTATGCCTCTTCAACAAGCTTAATCATGTTCACTAATATGTCCCAATGTTGAACCCTATACATTCTTGACTTAATGGAGTTGAGATTGGTCATGAAAATTACTGACTGCTGAGCGCTCTGTAACTTGGACTGTTCACACATAGCCAACTTGGTGAACGCAGTTGGTGCAGCTTTCGAACCATGTAACAAACTGCGCTGCGCAAGGTAGTCGTTAAACGCGGACACTGAAAATTTAATTGCCATGAATGTGCAGCGTTTAGGGGGATTGTAAATTAACCGATGAAAGTGAGTCCATCATGTTGGGTTGCCATGATGCAAATTTACATGATTGCGCACATTTCGCAGTAGCGATTGATGTATTATGGTGGTTATTTGAAAATGAATAGGAAAAACAGTAAATTAGAAAAGGAGAATAGTTTACATATTTCTGGTGGAATAACCCACTTCCTGGTAAGACATAAACTCTACAAGGTCGATACAAGTCACTCTAATGCATATTTACCACCTAGTAAAAAATGCTACTCTCTCCTTAATTTGGGCAGCAGCTGTAGATTTAGGAAGCTCGACTGTCTCTGGCCTGTAAACTTTAAGAAATTAGAAGGAACGTTGTAATAAAGTGGACTGTTATAATCCATGTTTAATACCGGGCATTTCCAGCTACACATACCGGACCCCACTTTTTCACTCAGTAATTAGTGACGGCAGTAGTTACAGTGTAATCCAAAGAGTAGGTACTAACGGTAAGTGTCCCTATTAATGCAGAAATCAGTGGCGTGTGGCAATTAGCAACCTGGTTTGTGGTTAGTTTTAGTGTATAATCTACTTGCAAGTCCGAGATTTCCTTCTGAGTACGTCCACAACCAGATTATCTTCATGCCATGTAAGCACGAATAATTCAAAAGAAACCTGCAGCGGAGCCAGTAGATAACCCATTGATACTTTTCACAGACTCAATGTAGCGCCATCCGTAAAGCACGCGCAAAGAGGCCTGTCTTGTTTTAGTTGTACATGATCCTTCAATGTCCGCTCCAAGCATCCTCATTTGCCAGTCAACTTGAGATAGGTCAAACGATGCAGACACCAGTATTTTCATTCTGAGCAACTCCGATATTCAGGATACGCAACTTTGGCACACCCATTAAGCCGTTCGAGTCCGACCTACAGAATTGCATAGCAGGACTTTCGCTCTTCAGGCATGTTAGTGCATCTACCGGATTCAGAGCGGCCGACAAATCAGGAGTGCTTGATTTACTGCTTACAAATAAATTGTGCATGATGAATGATTTAACAATAGAGTCCTCTAAGACAGAATGATCAGGTAACCATAATTTATGGTTATATTATTTACCTGGAGTATCCACAATAATATATTGGCCTGTTTCACGCAATCATACGTTACATCCTACCAAAGGATTTAGCTAAAGATGCCACGCTAATTTCATTGAGTACATATCTACGGAGTTTGCGTGTAAACTTAGCAAGCTGCTTAGATCCGCCACAAAAACAATATCAGTTATTTACAAGAGAACAATGCTTCATTCGGATTTTGGCAATAAGTTGCGCAGCATTGCGTAGGTACAGCAGCAAATCCAGTTCTGATAGCTGTAACGACTATCTGATGAAGCATTTTCAGTGTACAATACCTGTGAAACGAGGAAATTCTGCACTCAAGCGGTGCCGAGTAATTTTCATTCTCTTGCCAATCGCAAGTTCAGTTCAAAATGCAAACTGTCTTTCATTGGTTCAAATTGTCACGCCCCCAAACTTCTCGGTAGCTGGACGGACTAAATGCCGCAAGGAAACAGACAGCTATGCACGGTTACGATATGCTGCAACATGCAGAGTTTTTATCAGCGCGTATCATACAATTGTTTCCACATCCTCATATGCCAAAATCACTTTGTTCCTCGAGTGTATTCAGGGAGCTGTCAACGTTACGCATCTATAATTTAACCTGGTTTAATGATGTTCACATGTGAGCGCTGATGTTGGTCGCTGAGACTAGAGCTGAGCCAACAAAATGAGATTTAATAGGTTGCTTGCATAAACTGCACCTCCTTACCGTGTAGACGCATATTACCGCTATCCTATTTTTTTAAGGGTGGTAGCCGTTCAGAGGTCACAAACTCTCACCTTGTGATCATCCTCGCAGTTTTGTCAGAGAGCTAATGGAGGTCATTATTTCGACGGCAATAATAGACAATTTTGGCTGTTCTAACATTGTGCACCACAACAAAGCTGCTTTTGCAAGCGTGTTACTGACCCTGAAGTGTACTTGGACTGTAACAACGGATAGTGGGACCGTAAGCGATCCCGCTTTTGTAGAATGTTCCCGCGAATTATCAACGAATACGTGATAACTAGTGTCGATTATGCGTTTCAGAACAAGCATTAAGGCATTAACGCAGTCTGGTTACAGTCAGATTTCCCCACTGAGAATTTACTAAACTGTAATTGGTTTGTCTTGCCTCCTAGGGAACTTCGATTGGAAATCTAGGAATAAGTATTATTATCGTCAAAGGAGTGAACTCATTCTGCGTTATGTGCATTGAAAACCTCCGTCATGTTTATCGCCACTTCCTGAAGCGTGTCCATATCACTAAACATCGAGCCAACAGCAGAAGTTGTCCACGCAGTACAACCGGTTAGAATGTTACCGGAACACTAGTCAGCCATGGAGCGTTGTTTCGAATTTTGGAATTTTGGGGTAATACACTTAATTTTTCATAATAGATTCGACCACTAATCATTACAATTATCTACATATCAATAACTGCATTTATTTTTGACGAAGAAACCTAAAATAATGGTTTTGGCCAACTCCTCATTAGAACATCTTCGGCGAATAGATGTTTGTATTAATTTGCGTAGCATGGCGATATCCCATTAGCACGATTTACGTTCTTGGCATTTTTGGTAATATGCATTTTATTCATCCGATCCAACTGGACATTTAAAGACAGGTTTGTTAAAGGGGTTGTTACATTGCTTCATTTTTCAAGATAATTGAACAGGCGTTAATTGCTTCTGCGTCTACATTTAGCACATGGTTCTATTGACATATGGAATGTCAACACAATTATATATTTCTTAGGCTGATGGGGGCTCTTATCACAAACACCTGGCAAGAAGCCCAACAAAGGAGAAGGGCGAATGAAGTACTAAGAGATCATGATATATAGTGCCGGAGAAAGAAATAAGGGTAAGAATAAGTGACGATAGAAATGAAAGCCGCATTCATCAACTTCTAACTACTGAACTTGCTTCAAGGACGCAATAAGCCCGGCTACAGTGATTTTGCCTTTTTTAATTAACATGCTTTTCATTTAGATTGTATCGTGAAAACCGTTACGAACACAAGGAAATCTACTGCGGTTAAACAGTTTAGTGCATGCTTCTCGCAAACCGTTCGCCTCCTCGGACCGCATTATATGAATGCTAATGGTCCATTATTGAACAGCTGTGAATAATAATAAGTAACGACTAATAATAATAATAACTGAACAACTGTGAAAATCTGGCATCTATTTTTGGTGGACTGGAAAGTACCAAGACTTCTCTGTTCAGATGTCATTTAGACACATGCCCTTGTGCATTTGGTTACCAAGTGTGCACTTAAGAAGATTATACAGATTGCGCGCTTACCTCATAGTTGATGCTGTCAAGTGAAAGCGTTACTTGATTTGCCATATCTCGGAGGTTTTCCAGATTCGAAGGAATAAGTGCGTTGAAATCAATCGCCGTGATTTCCTTGACCAAGTTTCTTCAACAAAATACATGGGGTGTTATAGATTGAGAAAGTTCATAGAACAAAATCACATGCCGTGATCGTCCAACAAGTATGTGTAAAATATAGGCATGGTGAACATACAACATCGCTGGCATTTAAATACACCAAATGTTGAAACTGATGGTTGCTCAGAAGGAAACTCCGTGTGTATTTCATAACCAATCGTAACTTCTACATAAATAAAGCACGACCCATTGACTGCATGCAATTCACCAACTGATAAACATCGCAGGGAAGTAGGGACTTGTTAACAGATGGATAGTTTAGCCAAACAGATTTACAGGAGAGATTACACAGTTGACAGACTGCAGCAACTTGAAAGTAAATCATTATCAAATGGCTGAACTCGATGATTTATCTAGAAACACATATAATCGTTAGGACTGAAAGACTTGGTACCAACAACATCCTTCAATTCTTTATAATGGACTACCATTAAAGGATGATTTTATTGCAGTGAAGACACCTAATAATATAGTGCAATTAAGTTACTCTAATGCCCAGATTGCCATCAGCAAACGATTCCAATGTTTACCGGTACATTCAGCAAGGGAAACGCAAGCTATAATGGCTGATTGTTACCACGCAAAGCAAATTATGGATGACTGAAGAGCCGAGTACAGAGAAGAGGTGAACTCTATTTTCCTAAATAGTGGAGTAGGTTTCAGAATCGGTTAAGTAGGACACCGCCTAGGACCTCTATTCTTCACACTGCTTCATGCACAGGCTGGTAGATAGCTCGACTAGCATACATTCTCTGATCATGAATCAGAAGATGGAACTTGGTTCATCTTTAAAATTAATCCCCACCACTCTAATCCCTGCATCCATTCTGTTGAGATGGTCACAAAATGAGGATAAACATAACCCTCTAGATCACAGGACTAGACCAAAACAGCTTCCGGTTGAGCAATCAGATGCCTGCATGGGTTGCAGGCACAGCGTTTTACAGCATGTATATTGGAAAGAACTTCATTTTCTCTGCAGACAACGCTTTCCACGACTGCTTTTATTTCTGACAAAAGAGTCGAATTGAAGTCGAACCCGGTTGATTAAATTTATGGGTCATATACTCGCAGCTATGAATGCCTTTTTAACTTTCTGAATGACCATGATTTAATCGAAGTCTAAGCACATAAAAGCTTGGGTTTTTTTGAGCTATCCAAACACGCAGTGTGAGGTACAGGACTAGACAATGAATAATGTCTAGCTTCCGGCTCTCTTGGATAAAGTAAGCTGCTCGACGCATTTTGGCTATGAGAATGTTTACACATTTGCATATCATATATCGGGTCAGACCCTTAAATCGGCCGTGTCGTTGTCATTGAACATCAATTTTACAATATCGCTATGGATTTATTAGCGTTCTCAGCATATTTCAACATGGATATTTGTCAAGCTATTTTCAAGGTCACCGCTGATGTCCCCCGCGTAATCTTTGAGAAAAATTCAAGGTATTGGGCGAGTGAAGATGGACGGTCTTACTGGGAAGTCTAGCTCACAAGGCTGGCTTTAAATTATCTTGTCCGGAACTGTTTACTTGTTGCTCTTTTACACTGATCGTTTATGCAAGTGACGTTGCTACACATGGTTCTATTATCCATTCCTATAAGTTTACTTTTGATAATATAAGTTTAACTCCTCCGTTGTCGATATTGTAAAGTACCGAAAATATACCCGTTTGGATACATAAACTTCATTTGACTTGCCTTGACTTGACTTGGATATTGAGGATGCATGCGTTTTATAAAAAATTCAGTTCTTGTTTCTTAATATTAGCCTAAAATCAAAATTACCGACCTGTAGCTTTAAGGGTCACAAGTCTGCCTTTGTATCTGACAGTGCGTGTTCGAGCCTGTTTAGGAACTGGGTGACTCTCGCAGTATCCTAAGCCCACGTGCAACCGGTGGTGATTGGACGGCAGCGAAGTCTTAAGACTCTGTACCGGATTACTGCTGATGCTTTTCTTTCTTCTTATCAAGATGCGCACACTAAAAATACATCCGTTCTTCAAGACTTTAAAATGATGTTATTTTCTCACAGGTTATTTGTATGTAGAAATACCAAGATGATAAATTGCAAATGAATCGCTATTTTAATGGCTAATTATCAATATTATTGACAGTTCGGGATTACGGTTACTGTAGAGCTAGTGAAAACGAAATGGTAAATTGTGTGTGCTACCTAAATCCACGAAACTTTAAGGCAAAATATGAAAACACGGTAATAATTAATGAGACTTATCACAATAGCGGAACAGATACGGGAATTAGTATTAGTTGAACATATTTCCTTGAAATAAAAAGGGTACATTGCTTGACGACGAGAGAAATTGTCCAATAGGTTGGTTTGTTTAATTTTTGCAGCTGAATTGTATTATAGCTGTTTGCTAATTCGAGTAGAAACAAACTAAACGATAAACAATACGTTATAACAGGCACAAAAGTGATTGATCAACAAGTTCCGTTGGATGGCTTGAGTACGAATAGAATAGGATTGTTTAAAATGACAGGAAAAAGGGAAACTTCTGGATTGAGGTAACTCACACCGTTATGCTGATCAGCTTACCGCTAAGTACTAGAAATAACTGGTGTACACTGCATGATTTCGTCTTTTGATGGAAACAGGCTATCTCAAGTAATGTTAAGTAGAGAGTGTATAGTCCAATCGTTTTTAAGCGCTAATTTCCGGTCGAAAATAACCTGTGAAGAATAGCGGTCGACGTTCTGGATACCCTGAAACAGGAAATATTTTGTTGGCAATCAATTAGACTGTGGCATGCGGTCCGTTTGTGTTAGTCACCTCACAGGTTGGTAATGTGGATGATTGGCAACGGATCGGGACCCGCGTGATTTGGGTTAGTCAGAATTAGGTACACTATAATAAGGTCTCTTCGTGGGTGCCGATATTCAATACTGTACAATCCTCGGGCTTGTTGTCAGCGCAAGCATGAGAGGTGAAAAAATCCTCTAACTATTTTCTTGTCCTACAATGTGGAGATATGAGCGCAGCAGCACTATGATTGCGACAAGATCGCCAGGCCTGAATCACATACTCTACAAAGGCATCACGCAGGCGTTCTGCATTTGTGGAAAGCTTGACAGCTAGAAATTCCCGAAGGTAAATTGTAGGAAGCCAAGGTGCTACCTGGTTTTTCTCGACGTCTTTTCGGCCTGTGTCGAGCAGACGATGTCGTGTTGCACCATCACCTCAACGTCGCTTCCCTGCGTGGCAGGTTGCACATCTGTTCTCCATTCAATATTCATGAGTGAGTTGATAACGTATGCTCAGAACTTTGCATATTGTACAGTTAAACTACAAATGATTTCGAGAGGACCATATGTATGCTCAGTCGAGATCTATTTGTATTGCAGCGTGGTCGTCCATTGGCTTGATGTCATGCCTACTCTTGAAGTCACCTGCAAATAGTAAGAAGTCTGACTGACGCATGTTAGCGAGATCTTAGATGATTACTAAGAATAAACTTTGTTCGAGTACCAATCCTTGGGGCTCAATGCTCTGAAATTTAACTGCGTAGGAAATGGACTTGCAGACTCCCATGCAGCTGATCTAGAATGCCGAACAAGCTTAAGCAACCTAACACAAAGTCACCAATTTCATATCTTCGAAATTTGTGAATTAGTTTGCTGTGGTCCCATTGATAGAATGCTTTAGAGAAATCCTCGAAGAAGTCACTTCTGTTCAACTAACAGCTTAACCTTCATGAAGTTCGCCTCAAAATCAGACACATACGAGTATAGAACAGTAAGAGAATTATCATCCGGTTTAATGTTCTCCTTTTTGGAGGAGTACATGGCTGATTTCTTTGGTCTGACAACAAGTGGCTTACTAGGTTTCTTGGTTTTATTGGTAGCCCTGACTGTCCCTAGTTTGGCAGTGATCGTAGCTATGTTAGGTGATGCCTCCGTCATGTGTTTGGCAACAGTGAACGCGCATGTTGTAGCTCTCACAGTAGTGTTGAATTTACCGCGAGACTTTTATTTAAATATTATGTTCTATGCATTGTTAGATGCCGGACCCCGTACCATTGCATAAGTATTTATAGTGGGGGTGCCTAAACCATGATATTTATCTTCATTGCGCGCTTGGCTGCGTTGTTCCGCGTTGGAAATTGTTACTGTATATCCAGCTCGAGACTCTGATTCCTCTGGGTACCCTGGGGCCGACCATTCAGCAGTTGCAAGCTCTACAATCTCCGTTAGTTCTCTCTCACTCCTGCAACAGAATTACTATGAATCTGACGGGTAGAATAGTGGTACACTGTGTACAAAACCAAATGGAATCGGTCGTGTCGGTTCATTTCTTTACTTCGTTTAGACTAATGAGATATCACTTAGGTTGGAATTTTAAAACGGTTGGTGCATTGTATTCCACTTCGTTTACTTATAGTTCTTCAGGCTTAACTATTCGTGGGCAGGAAATGCATACCATGATGATCGTCAATTCAGTTCGCTACATGAATCGTCGATCACCGCGATGCCTACCACAGCAATCGCTTTGTTAACGGCGCTCACGTACGCTGGATGAATTTTTGTGGGCTAGGTGTGCACGTGCAGCACACGTCAAATCACACACACGAGGTGGCATGACTGACGGCCGGAGGATTAAATGCCTCAGACCTTGAAGTGACAGTGCTAGGTCGATCGATCGATGCAGCTGCGTCAAAACCGGTGGGATGCATTTCGGTTCCTCATTTTTGACGCTGAATTTGATGGTACGAACAGACATGTAAACAGACGTACAACTATCAGTTTCAAAAGCGGTTTGCAAAGTGGAGCCATATGTCAAAGAAAAGTGATAAAGTACCTGACGAAGTGCCCTGATAAAGTCCATTCAAATGAGCGTAGACGTTTGAGCGTAAGCCCAGAAATGTCGTTTTTCACACTTTTAATTTGCAAAAATCGTGACCTAGAGTAAAAGTATGATCCAACAAGTAGATCCAACTGGTGATGGACACTGAGTGACACTCGTCGAAGTGGATCAAATGAGCTTCGGCAAAAGATGTGTGACGAGAAGTAAAATATTAAATCAGCACTTAGTGAGAAGTCGGATGAAATATGATCCTACGGCACTGCACCCCGACATACATAGCTTGACAGTAAGAATGAGACAAGATATGGTTAAATATTCAACTGAGGCGAAACAGCTAATAGTGGAAACGACATAACCGCTGATCGGAAAATGTCGGGGGTTACTTGAACACAGCAATTTTGGCATAGGTACTTTCCGCGGGGTATCGGGTTGAGTCACCGCTTACGTATGCCCCAAAGGTTCTGCCTTTCTAGACGGTTCGGCAGTCATTATAAATTTGCTGCACAAAATATATATATATATATATATATATATATATGTATATATATAATGCATATATATATATGGTGCCCCATGCAGAGGTTGATGTCGCATTCATGATGCTTCTTCACCGCAGTTGGACTAAACCAACTTACACTTAAACTAGGTCTTTTTAATGTGGATAAAATGCATTACATTTTATTTTATTTTTGTTCTGCCTACTTGGTAATCTTCTCCTAACGTACACACGTCGCTCATGCGAATTGTGGTAAACTTGCGTAATTTTATCGCGTGGTACTTTTTAAATGACTTTCGGAAGTTTTGTACTTATCGCGTATTCACATTTAACCAATTTCTTCCATATGATCATTTAGCGAGTATTTATGTCGTCATATGCGTTTACTTTATTCGATATCGGCATTTCGAATGATTGGCTGTTGTTTGACATCCCAGGTGTGGCTGCGCTTGATGTGCATGTTGACAAGGTGCCTACCTGTCTATTACCCACTACCTCGTCCATACTGGCTCCAGAAGACTGTTGGTCGTTGCTGGAGGGGACGGGGTGCGCCGTCCTTGTGGCCGTGTTAGGCTAGAAGAGTGGTTCCATGCAATCAGTGTGGAGCGGACTACGGTTCAGTCACCGCCTTGTGTGCGCTTGATTCCCAAATAAAGCGTGCTTGTGTTTGCCTGTGAAGGAGTGTGGGCCGGCTCCGTTGATGAGACGTGGCTCCCATCCGCATGCCTCCCGGTCTTATTCCCTCGGGTTTACCCTGGATACGGGGTGTGTGGATGGAGCTGTGGGTGGTACAGCGCAAGTCATCCATGGTCCCTCTGTAGGCGCAGGCGTCCTGTGGCTGGCCACAGTGACAGGCAAATCCGAAACCGGATGCCGCCAACCATATGTATATATGATAGAGCCCGTTGCGTATAGTACGGTCTCGACTATCAAAAGACGTTTCACATCAACCGCGCCACTTCACCTACACTTTCTTCGGCTGAACTACCGAACAGATTATGTTATCTACCACCATTTCAATAATGTGGATTACAGTGTCCCGTGTGGTTTTTCAAATTTTACGTGCATTTTATAATTGTGCTAGATGTTTCTGCTTTCAGTGAGCGGTCTGATTAAAATCCATTTTATCGGGATAACTTTGCTGTAAGAAGCAGCGCTAGGTTTCTCGCCTTTCCAGCTAGCTATATTGTTATTGACAGCGGTATGTTTCAAGGTCACCCATAACGAAGTATTTTTCTCATCTTCAACCTGCTTGTTGGGCTTGCCTACAAACCCAAGAGAATAAAGTGGGCAATTTGTTGGGAAGTCGCATTCCGTAACACAGTACAACTCATTTGTCCTTCTAATCCGTTGACATGTCTGAGAACAAATATTTTACGCTGCACAGATTATTCCGAAATGGCAATGTCATTGCGTTAGTTTGAGTACTAGAGGTTTTCGGCGTTTATTACTTGAACACAGACAAAGACGATAACACATGAATTAAACTATAGCGTCAATAGCAAAGATATACATCCGCAAAACAAAGACCGCGTCAGTTCATGCAGAGTAGCGTGGGCAAGATACTTACGTCTCTGTGTCTTGGAGAAGCTTAGTAATTTGCTGTCCTCTCAACACGGTAGTGAAGTTCAGAATGTCTGAATATCCCAGTTTTCCTAAAAGCCCTTGTGATGTGGTTGTTTGCAGATTCGGATTACATGCTATAGAGACTGTTGTTAGCAACATGGGTGGTGGATTTATCTTCAGCATCGCAAGAAGCTCAGGGGACAAGGTTTTGTTGTTAAATATATCTGGCCATTCGTAACGAAGGAACAATTCAATCGCCTTATCGGTACGTTCCAAATCGATTCCGTAATCCAAATTGCGACATATCTCGCTGTTGCTCAAGACCAGCAGGGGAATGAGAGCGAGGCACACGAGAGCCGGAAAACAACACAGAAGACTGATGACACTGAGTAGCATTGATATGAATTGAAGTTCAATTGGTCTGCTACTAAGCGGAGCCAAATCCAATGAACGTTCTGCACTGGATATACATCCAACTATTGCACCGATACGGAAATGTTCTCTTCCTGTCACCAGTAAATCACCTAGCAACAACAAAAATAAAGTAAAATATTTTCAGCTGTCCAGTAAAACTTATTTTTTCAGAGAAAGTTCGTTTATCACTACGTTTTGATGCACAGGGTTAATAGGCAAAATCGTTTGAGTCAAACGCATGTTAAACTATTTGGACATATTCGTGGAGAAATCGGTTTATACTCTTCAGTTGATAGCAGTGTGCGGTAAGCTAATTGGCATAAATCTGGAAGAAACATGAAAGTACTATATAACCCAATACCTATAGGTTATTTTACCTCAGATTGCTTGTATTTGCACATGGACATCATGATAAGCTGCATATTGCTGAGATTCCTGTTGTTTCAGAATCTGTATTGAACCGTTCTGAGCTTATAGGATTCGAATCATAGCTCGGTGAGAAAGAACTGAGATTCCAAGGTATATCCACTTATTTCTTTTGCCTATAAACCCAGAGCCATTTAACTGCAGTTACAACGTTTATGATGCGATTACGTATTTTGGCCCGAGTCATCTTACAGCCGGTTACAGTATCAGTAATAGACGATGTGTAACCTTCTTCTCTGATATAAGGCGTCTGCGTTTTAATCCACGGTTCATCGATTCAAACCTGCGTGAGTGCTGGTAGCTACTCAGTATTCTCTTCCTGCATTTGGCTTAGCGTGGTCGCGTAACAGGCGTGAATGTAGAACACCGGAATACTAAGGCTGCCTTCGCCTGCATTCATAATTTATCCAGGAAAACGCATTAGAACAAGAAAATATCGGTTATTTATTCCCTGTATTGCGCTATGATGAATTGCACTTAAACTGGTTCTTCAACCATGACAAAATACATTCCACTATATTTGCCTTACTCAGATCAGTCATTATTCTGCGTCTTCTGTATCAATTTCGCGCGTTCGCTTTCCCACATATCCTATGTTGGTCGTTTATTATCCCCGATGTGGGTGCGCTTGATGTGAATGCTGACAAGGCGCCTACCCCGGGGAAGCAGCGCACGGTCTTAGTGGTCATGTTAGGCTCAAATAATGGTTTTATCCATTGTGGAACGAACTATGGCCCAGCCACCACCTCGTGTATGTCTGGTTAGCACAATTCCCTAATTAGGTAGACAGGCATGCTAATGTTGGGCATGTTGAAGGTGTTTGGGCTGACTCAGTCGATGAAAAGTGTCTCCCATCCACATGCCTCCAGGTCTTGTTCCTTCGGGTTTACACTGGATAGGTGGAGTGTGGATTGAAGTGTTATTGCTGTAGCGCAAGACACCCATGACCCCTCTGTAGATGTAGGCGTGCTGTGCTTGTCCCCATGGAGGCCGCAGTGACAGACAAATCCGGAAAAGGATGATATCAAATATGTATTGGTAATGTTACGTAGAGAAACGCCAATATGATTTCCCCATTGCTTTAACTCCATAAATCAATGTACGAAGTGTGGTATAATGAACAAGGTTTTATAACATAGATCAAGATCAAGTAAATTGTTCTCAACTGTTAGCTCAGTGACAAGTGCGCTTGAAGTTAGGGCTGATAGCACTTAAACTTGACACATAAATTCAGTTTTTTAAAAGTACAGAGTAAAAATTTAACTTAAAGTTTGCAAGTGTGTAGGCTTGTATCTACAATGTAACCGTTTAACAAATCGGGCAAAAATGTGTAGGGGATTATTGTTAATCCCCCATAATACCTCATAGAACCGTACTTTGTGCCAAATGTTAAGACAAAGTGTTGAACTTGGGTATACAGAATTACGAGAAACCCTATAGCAATCCTAGAGAAAAATTAACGTCGGTATTTGAAATCAGTGTCAAAACCAAACCGCAAGGGTAGTGGTTAACTCTCTCTTATATTTGCTAACTGAAAGCTATAAACTGAACACCGAGCGTTGCAAATTCGGCCGTACTTCCATTAGTTAGGTCACAAATTTGCAATGAATGGCTTCACTCAAAATTACCACGTTTTGATATGCCTCAAAAAATCTAGTTATTAGGTGAAAAACTGTCAAACAATTACATACACTTTTGAAAAATAAGAAACCGAATTCCACAAGGGATATTTCGTTGCTCTTTTCAAATCTTTGGTGTCAAATATCAATAACAAAATCCCCTAATCCTAAATACGTAAAATATATCCGCCCTAATAGTTTCTACACGCTATGTCGTACATAGTTACTTTTAGTGACGTCGTGTCTTTCGGGGCCAACCCTGTCCTCTGCAAACTTAGTAACTTGCGTGGCAGTGGAGGGTAAGACACGTCGGTCCGAAGCTGTTCTACGTGGCCCAGTGGCATAAGCTGCTGACCTGCGGTGCAAGCCGCTGGTGGTCATGGGTTGCTGCTTTTCTGGGCATGTGGAGGACTATCTGATTTGGAAGCTGGCTGTGACGAACCTCAATTATCTCTAACAAAATCCCCTACTCACGAATACATCAAATCTAAATTGCTTTTTGTTAATGTCACGGGACTATAAGACGGAGTTTTAACTGTCAGTATGTTACAAAATTTATGATCACTTGATTTCTGGTCTTGTATTTAGTGTTAAACGATTTGTGAAACCCACTTACTATAAAACTTTGTCCTAATTAATTGTGTTTGACTAACTGCAAGAATTGTGCTTTATTAAAATTATAGCAACGGAAGTGGATCATATAATGCGAGGTATGAAATTTATCAGCTTCGAGGCATTGGTAAAAGTGAGCATCAAAATGTGGAATAGGAAAAATATTGTTGTTGCTCACACAACAGAATAACTGCTAAGATTAGTAAGCTAACAAAACGTGATACTAAGTGTTATAACTTTGTTCATATTCCCTTTAGGCAATAATGCTAGATGCAATTTACTGGGTGTAAGACTCTAGACCGTTCCGATCCTGCAAACTATCGTCCAGTGACTCTCCTCCCTGTGCTCGCGAAGGTGATGGAAGCAGTCGTCGCTGACGCTTTAATGGACTACCTGGAAAAATGCAACATCTTGGTAGCGGAACAGCATGGCTTCCGTCAACACCGGTCATGCACCACCAACCTACTTATTGCACGAGGTAGTTAGAAGGAAGTGGCCGATGATGGGGTCTGAGTCGACGTCATCTATCTGGACTTCTCCAAAGCTTTCGACCGCCTTGATCACCGCATCCTACTTCAAAGACTACAAAGTTACGGAATCGGAGATCTTGTACTTGGTTGGATTGGCAACTTCCTTTACCAACGAAAGCTCCAAGTACGTGTTAGGGGATCAATTTCTAACCCAATTGAGGTGGAATGTGGTGTCCCGCAAGGCTCAGTGCTGGGATCGCGCTTATTCCTGGTGTTTATCTACGACCAGGCAAGAGTCATCTCCTCAAACTTCCTGCTTTTCGCCGATGATGTCAAGATATGGCGGGCGATTAGTAACAAGGCAGATCAGGAGCTGCTCCAACATGACCTAGATTGCATTTACGAATGGTCAAAGAGGAACAAGCTTCAATTGAACATGGCTAAGTGCAAAGTGATGCATCTGCGTCACCAGCTGGTGAGCGCTTACAAGATTGGAGACCACACCTTGGCGAAGGTTTCTCAGGAGCGGGACCTGGGTGTATTGGTACAGGAAGATCTCGGGTGTTCCAAACAAGCAGAGAAGGCGAGGAGAACCGGAAATCAACACTTCGGCCTTCTTCGCAGAGCATTCGGTCGGTTTGAACCATCAATATTTCCCCAAATGCTTAACGCCTACGTGCGACCTCACGTGGAATATGCTATTCAGGCGTGGCAGCCGTGGCAGAAACAAGATCTCGTTGCTCTCGAGACTCCTCAACGACTGGCAACCAAGAACGTCAGGGGCCTCTTTCATCTGACCCTATCAGCTTAGACTGAAATCTCTAAGAATGTACAGCAGTCGATATCGGCTTTTGCGGGGGGATCTCATAATGGTTTACCAGATTCTGAAGAACCCAAACCACATTTGCCGTCCGCTGCTGGAATTGAACCCCAACACTACACTAAGAGGTCACCCTCTGAAACTGACAATTCATTATAGCCGGCTTGAATGCCGTAGAAATTTCTTTTCTCTCCGCGTGTGTGAACCTTGGAATGCCCTTCCTAATTATGTCTTCTCTGCTCCTAATCTGGCGATATTTAAAAAACGTGTTGACGATGCATTGTCTCACATTTCATTTTATGACTTGTTAGCCAGGGGCTACAAAACGCAATCAAACGGTTTCTTGCCAAAGGCCTAACCATTGGATTTATGGATTTATACGTTTAATATGCGAACATCTCCGCTATTTCACATAAGTCTATGGTGAGTCCACCACAACGCTTTTCACTGTATTATGCAATTTACTTTCGCAATAATTTCCATCCCACGGGACTTGTTAAGCGATGCTTTTTTACCCGTAATAAACCATTGTCCATTGTCCATAACGCAATTATTCTAATATGCGTAATCCAGTCTGCCTGCAGAAATGCAAACGATTTGAATGCACGTTGCCAGTCTAGTTTGATTCTTCCATTCTATATCAGCTTAATTGAGTATGTCGTGTTAATAAAAAATGCCCGGGGTATTGTCGTAACAGATGCACACAAGAGCACAGCTTCACTCTGGAATGACATAAAATTTTATTTGTCCAAATTGGTTCACAAACTATTACCAATGGCGCCTACAATGCTTCGTCCAAGTATTATTATCCAAACGGCTCAGCAAACATACGCTGCGTACAGATAAATTTTGTCGCATTCCATTAAACGCACCTAAAAAGCTGTTTTTCCCTCCGTATTGATAGACACTTATTTATCATGTTGTGGGCACATAGTCTTAAGATAGTCTTGTGGATGCCACAGCCACGATGATGAATACTGCATAATGAATACTGAGAATAAAGAGCGATAAAAGAAAAATCTGTGGTGTTCAATCGTAAGTGGGTAGGGCAGATGCGTAACATCAAATCACTGATTCCTGCGAGGTGGCAATATATAGCAGCTGCACTACATCTTATCCGGGTGCGACACACTCCTTATACCTGTAGTCCGCAAAGTGGGCATCAAGGAATCTCTTAAATTCAGACACTGATTTCTCCTCTACTAGCGTCTCCGGCAATTTGTTCCTATATTTCACCACTCGACTCTCGAAACATGGAGGTTGGGCGATGTGTCAGTGTCCGGGTGTGCTGCTTGGTGCATGAGCTTGCAGCAGCAGCTTCAACGTAGGGAAGTGGCCCAGATGCAGTATCCGGTGCGTAGTTATGAGATCAACGCAAACATAATCACATTGACCTCAGAATCGACCTGCCAGCCTTTGATGAATCAAGCTGTTCGAGTTCGGTTTTGCTGGCATGCGTGTTGTTTTATTCAATTATGTAGGTGTTATTCGCCAACGAATCTTGACGAATAAAATTAAGTGAAAAATGCGAATTCAGATACTCCCATCGTAATGCTTATGTATAGTGGGTAATGGCGCCTTGTGGTATGGATTCATTTGGGCATTACCTTTTAAACTAATATACCCCATAGTAACATAAAAGTGCGCACGCATTATCCTAATGGCGAATTGCAATAAAGCGCTACTGTTTAGGTTTTCACAATTATCTGATAAACACAAATGGCATTTTTATAGAAAAAATATTTTTACATGGCTCACCGCCATTCATCAGACAAGACAAGAGAAATGGCGCACTGCAACGGCCTAGATGGTCAAATACTTCGGTTTTTGGATTGATCTCCGAACGGTTTAATCAATGCGGGTGAAATTGTTCACACGCTGCGTCAATGTAACGAGGAAAGAAAGTTGATTTTTGAACTAAGCCGATGTTTCTGCACACCTTTTGCTGATTATGTGTTTTACTACTATTCGATTTGGCTAATATCTGTTCGCCGCTGGACAACCGCTAAATGAGATGAAATGCCTCATCTGGTTAAGTTAAAATTTCCTTTTCTCAACCGTCTTTGTCCGTTCCATATAATGTGCTGAGGTAATATTATAATTTACAGGTGAAAATTGTCCATCAACCGATTATTCTTGCCGATGGCAACCACTGAGATAATGTATCAGGAAAAGTGCTCTGATAGCTTATGACTATATGCTGTGTATCCAGCTTATACGTACGGAATTGTAGTGCTACGTAAAGTCATCTATGGGAAACACAAACGCACATGACTGGCGACGTTTTATCGTTACATTCCTTCGTGTATTTGTGATAGGTAGACATTTGTTGAACTTTTGCTGATTCACTTCGCATACGGTCGTTCTTTATTTGCCAAATAAACTAATTTTACACCTTAATTTTGTTGAATCGGCAAGTGCTATGATTTGACTTGCCTATTTTAATACCACCTTGCAGATATTAACGGTCTAGATCCACCCGTTAACTTAGTCATGCCTCTGCGTCGTGTCGTATGAAGCGGTATTGACCTGGTTCCTCCCGTTATTTCCTCGGCTTCTATTCATAAACTGTTAATAATTATACATAATAGCGGATACCGATGAAATACAAAACAGACATTGTATAACATCGAGTATTTGTTAACGTCTTACTCTGACTACATCACGGACATTGCATCACGAATGAAAATTACTTCCAACGTGCATTTAAGACGTTTGCAACTTCAATTGTTTGTGCCACTGGAGAACTAGTTATAGTAGTGTGTTTCCACTCAGTGGCAATTGTGTCTTATATGCTCTGTCTTATGTTAATGATTCAGCTCTGATATCAGCAACCCTGCTGTGTGGAACAATGTTTCTCCCGGTTCCTTTTGTCAATATCACAGTTATGTGGTAATAGTAATTCAATCAGTATTGATGAATGCGTCGACTAATAAGATAGATCAAGTGACGCAAAATGATAAAACGATGACATCCACGTTAGCGACTGCTTTTGGATAATCAACTTGACCCGCGAATATCTGACGTTCAATAAGGTAAACTGTACATTTTTTTCCGACGATGTACATTACGGCAGGTATGCAGTCACTGTGGGTCATCAGCACTCATTTTCTTCCCTCGTAGTTTGCAACACTTTAAACAAAACTAAACAAGCTGAGTACCATCTTTAAATCGATTGCCTCAAATTTTCGCTTTTATTAGGAGTGCAAATGCAATAAAAATGAAACCAAAACGGTGCATCTCCAATGAAAGTGATTTGTTCAAGCTAATCGTTGTTAATTTCCAGCGACAAGAATAAAATTTCTGATCACTTCCAATCAAGGGTAATTTAAAGGTTTGCCTTATATTGTGTGGCTATCTAAATCGAACGCCTGGTCAGGCACATAGACAAAGGATCAAGGAACAACGGCCTATTTCTCTAACCAACCAGAGAAATGAGACCAAGTTAAGTGTAAGAATTAGTATCAGATGCACACGGCATCATATTAATCAATGTAGTGCTTCCAAAAGCATGTATAAATTAGCATCACATGTGGATCATCAATCAAACGGCCTTCTTGCTATTCTTGAGGCGGTAATTATCCATTTGACAAGAGAAAATTTTGCACCTAGATGTGGACTGTTTAGGTACTGCAACTCTCTCAACCAGCTGCCAAGCGCGCGAAATCGAATTCCGAGCAACAACACCAGTTACCTGCAATCAACTGATTACCCGATGCGTATCAAAACTGCTTAATTTACTTCTAATTAATTTTGCTATATTCTGGTGCATTTTGTCTACAAACATTGCACTTCGTTCTTGAAAGAATGCATCCTATTAAGAATAAAATTGTGAAGTGATCGTGTAAAAGTTATCCACAATATATTTTTCCGTCACACATGTTCCTGTCTTACTTCATGTGTCGCAACTTGCGAGTCAAAAGATACGGTAGTTAAATTGTCAGTGTTTTGAACCAACCAATTCACACGGTTGTTACGACAAAGCGAGTATAGTTTGCATCTTGAATGTAGCAAGCTGGCAAAAGTGCTATTTTCTAAATAACCAGGTAGAAAGAGCAGGGATGCAATTCAGTATCGGGACGTTTGTATTAGCCAAAGACCCTAACATTTAGATGGAGAAAAATAAGCGAATTTACTTATCACAGAGGTTTAGTACAAGTTGAAACTTGCTCTACTTGCGACTGTGAGCCTAGTCTAATAACAATAACTTCTCCAATAAATCATTTTTATTAAAAGCACTGGACGGTGCAGTTCCTTGGCATAGCTATTAGTCGTTCGACTGTAAAACAAAGATTTCGGGTTGAGTCGCGCACTTGCTATTACGAACTCGTGAGTAAAAATGAGTACCAACGGTCGGGTTACAGATTTGCAAATCGCTACTGTCAAGTATTAATCTGCTTAAACCGCGATTCCGTTGACCGGAACCAGTGCAGATATGTTGAAAATGAATATCCGGCTAACTTAAACTGGCCTGTATCTCGAGCAAACAAGTGCTTTAAAATACTCTCTTTCTCTCGTGGTTTAGAGCACGGATCACCAAAGTTTCTCTACCGCGGGCCGGATGACTAGAACTATACGTGGGAGTCAGAACGAAAACGCTGGCGTAGAATGCCAACGAAAACGCGACGTTCGGTGTCCGCTTTTCTTTGTAGCTTTAGTGAAGGCTGAACTAAACGGGACCTGCAAAACAAAATGTCAACAAATTGCAAATATTATAAATTTTCCATTGAAACATCTGAGGTACGGTGGAGTAAGGGGCCCTTGGTGAAACATGACTTTGGCGGTGCTAACAGGTGTGAGTTCCACCAGTTTGCGCGTCCAGCGCCATCACGTCAAGTCAGCATGCAATTCATTCTAAGTATGACTCCAAAATCAAACACAAACTATTGGCGCACTTCAAATGAACGGACGAACCCTATTATTGTGGCACGAAATTGTGAGGTAAACAGCAAATTGGCAGGATGCACGAATGAATGATTTTCAAGCGTCATCATTTATCTCAGTGTTCCAGCGAAAAGGAGTCACTACTGGTATTTCAGTACGATCTCGCAAATAGCAACGTTGAGATGCCTTACGTTAGTGTTCAACCAGTGTCAGATTACTGACAATGCGATAGGCGGTGTCAAATGCAAATTATATCATGGGGTTTCGTGTTCCCTATAATCTATCAAGCAAGTTCGGATACAGCCGGCCAGCCGGATGAACTGATATCGTGTGCCGGATCCGATTTACTGAACGTAGTTTGATGACCCCCGCTTTATTTTCATTTTGTCGACTCCGTTCCAATCCACCGTATGATTTGACTAAGCTGTGGCAGGTGTTGTCAAAACAATTACGGAACCTGTTTAGCCCTTGGTTTAATGGCCGCTCTGAGTCAATGTTTTCATTCACAGTAGGCCCACTAACCATGGAGGTGAATATTAATTAGCAATTTATGACCAAGGGAAGTTGTAAAGGGTGTGTAGAAAAGGTCAGTTTATGTTGTCTTATGCAGTACAATGTGACATGGGCTTCGAGTCAATCGATTCACCAAGCATTTACTGTTGTTTGTTAGCAAAATGCCTAACGAAATAATTGTCTTACAACACGGCAAATGGCATGTGCGTAGAATGGAAAGAAGAAACAAACCTTTTTAAAACACTACTGTGTACCAGTATTCGTGGTCATATACTCCTTTGTATACATATCACGCTTTCTAATAAAAATCAGAATGATAGTAGGACAGTAAGAATTGGAGGTAAGTTGCTACTTAAAAGGCGACACTCGGGAATGATTAAAGTGGCTTAGTTGTTTACAGTACAGCAAAACATGCCGTTTTGTCTGGAACTATATTATACGGCTAAAAATATGCAGCTTTTATTCGAATTCTCATGTCGATATTAAAAATTTACAGTAAAATTACTGATGGTTCTGATCAAAACATCAGCTTTATCATTGAGAGAATTATGAGACAAGTTTCTGTGTAAATGAAAGACATTTTGCCAAGCGTAATCGTAATGTTATTATCATCTTGCTTAGGGATTGCGAAACTCACCACTTGCCGCCAGCAGGCGGTGTGAGCGAACGTCTTCGAGGATCAATCCAACGTAACACAGTTGTGCGATCAGCAATACTAAATGCACAACCAAAGTAAGGTATCCACCGGCGGAAATGACGTAGTCCATCAGGTCGATGTAAAAGTAAATTTGGGGTTGCAATCTTTTCACGGTGTTTTGTATAGGTCTTGCTGTGGACGTATTGAACTCCGACCAAAGAGTAGTTAGGGGTTTGAAAAGTTCTTCGATTTTAAAATTTTTATTCATCTGATATGAAAAATATATATGTTAAAAAAACTACCGTAGAAGGAAAAACCAAAAAGAGCTTACTGATATGAGATGATATATATATATATAGGTAGCAAAAAAAAGTACTTAACATTTCATTGTGTACTAGATTATATTAGTTTTAGGGAGGTCTGTAACCAAGTCCTCATGTAAGATAAGAAGATGAGTCCAGTTATCAGCTTCTTATTTCTAAATCATAACATAAACTAGTCTGAAAAGACACGAGATCCACGCTACTACAGGATAATGTATGGTAAATCGGGGACGAGTATTTTCGCAAGCATGCCCAAAATCACAAAATCGGCAGCTAGATGAAGTATGATGTCTCGAACTTGAGTATAATTCCTGAAAACAAGAACAACTAGTATTGCCCACTTATAACCATATAAAAAACGAGTAAACATTGTGACTCATAACTGTTAAGAAAATAAATCTTTACTTATTGTATGGGGTGAAGACGAGGCAAATCTAAGTAATAAAGCTAACAATAAGTAATATGGTTGACCACGAGAAATTTACTTGAACAGACCTTTCAAATGCAACGATATCTTCGCTAGTTTGCGTATGGCGTTATCGCTTATCGCGTCCATAACACATTAATACGGGTGGAACAGATTTTGGGTAGATTCGTCGCAGTTAGACACAGACGTACAGCCACCACGTAGCCAGGAAAGCGCTAGGCGGCCGTTTCGTCCCATGGGGATAATGAGCCGCGTTATATCGCGGTTGGATATCCGTCATGGGGGTCCGCTGCCATCGCCCATGTCTCAGTGACATAAGTCGCTGACTCGCAAGAGTGAGGTCGTGGGTTGGAATCAGACAGAATTCTGCGGGTGCGCGCTACTGACGAGTCCCAATAGGACGAAACGGCCGTATGGCGCTTTCCTGGATGTGTGTTGGCTATCAGTCTGTGTCTAACTGCGATGCATCTACACAAAAACCTAATAAATCCCCCTACCATTTACATATGGGTAGAACAGTTTTCCGTTTGCTACACCAGACCACGGATGTAGCCAGGTATAATTTGAGGCATCAAGGCTAAAATATACATAAGATGTTGTGTGATTGGTATCGGTATCTTGTCTTTCTAACTGAGTGTACACCATTATTTATGGTGTCCATGGACATGTTACGATAAACAGCACATTTTTAAAATTGTCGGTAACTGAGTTATAAATTGTGCCATATTTTCTTGGCTTTCCTACTCTTCCTCACGTTTTAGTGCCCATGTTATGAATACAGATTCTTCAGCCTCACATTGATTCGAATGTTTGCCTTCTGAGTACCACTGATTTAGCAGTTTTACGCTTAGAAAGTATTTTGCTTTATAAGGTGTGACCTACTCTACTGATTTTCCAGAATTATCCTTGGCTGGCTTAGCATGTATGTTAACACACGAAGCAACATTAATTGCCCGCATGCTGCGATTTTCTCGACCTCCTTTATTCCTGGACTGGGATGTTCGCTTGAGTACGCCTCTGGACCCCTATTTTCCGCAAATTTTACTTGTCAGAGTGTTAATTAAATGCAAATTTGCCTTCTGTTTTAATATTTATGCAAAGCTTCTTTTAGTAAATATTTCATTGTGGCATACGGCTAACACAAATATCCAGATGTCGTTTTTGAGTTCTGCTTAAAACCGGAACATTATCAACTGCCGATTTGCAATCGTCTGAATATTAAGGTCGGCAAGTATTGTTTACACACATATATGCCAAAAAATTTTCTTTCCTTTATCAGGTAATGCGTGATATACAGCACCAATAGACAGACTATTAATGTAAAAGCAACTATTGATATTTTATGTTTATTTACCACAATATAAAAAACTAAATAATGATTTGCCGTGGACTAATATAAACGGCAAATCCTTCGCCCGCCACTGCTTACTCAAATGAATGTAAAATAAATAGTTTCTGGAAAAAGATGACATGGTACATCATTTGGTAAGCTGATATTCTACAACTTCAGTATATGATGCAGTTGTGTCCAAATAACCATAAAGCAAGCTGCTAGACACATGTCGTTTGCATAACCTTTTCTAGAGTTTCCGGAGGCATCAAAATCATTCAGGTTGCTACACTTGGTTAGGGTTATAAAATGCGACGAACTCGACGAAAACAGTCTTCTAGGCAAGTGTACTTCACCGCAAGTAGCGCAGAGTTATTCACCGATTTTCACGGACGTGGAAGTACCGTTTTATTTTGAGAGTCAAGTATCATTTGTGCGATTCCCAAAGTAGTTAACACCTCGAAATCTTTGTTTTCACTTTACTTGGTCTATCTGTGTCTGTCTGGTTTGAACTGATGTTATAAACCTGGCTTTTGCCAAGACGTTACTTTATATTTGGTGACTAAAATGGCTACTTTATAAATATTTTGCGTGATGGTCCTAATCTTCAAGGTCATTTTGCTTCCAACTTCATTTTTAGCTGATCACAGATGAGAAAAGACGGAGTCCATAAAAATAGCTAAATACCTCTTATACATGAAAGTGTAATATTTAGGTGGAATATCGATGCAACTTTGTGTTGATAATTTCTGAGTCCGTAGATGTGGTCTCAGCCGTTAAAATGCAAACTTTAGCAAACATATTTGGCGCTGTGTTAAGTCATGTAGCTAACATCCACAAGAGGATAGCAGATTCGCTTACTGTTGGAGCGGCTAATCCACCGATAATGGTAAATGGACTAACTGGGTTGTTGTATCTTCAAGAATCGTGTCTCAGTACTAGAAAAGGCAACGATGTCCATCTCAATTTTATATGGGATGAATAATACAATAGAGATTGCTACTGCTACTACTACTATCACTACTACTACTACTACTCCTACTACTACTACTACATTCTGGCGAACACACCGTGGTCTCTGCTGTTATTGTCATGTTCGACAATTTTCGCGTTAAATTGACACATGGATTACCTTCGTGGTAAACAGCGTAGTTATACACATTTTTGAAAGTACCTTGACGTCAGATATGGATTTTCTATACATTCCAAAAGGAGTTTAAATGTTTACTCACAGACTCCACTATCATATCGGCCGTTTCTTGGACTTTCTGTCGGGCTCTTCCAAGTGCTTGCAAAGCTCCAGTGAGGTCGATGTTCAATGTCTCCAAAAGTACCTGTAGGCCTACACTCGGGTCCGCGTTCACATTTGCTGGATTGAAATCGAACACCAATGTTCTTGCATCAGCCTAAGATTTGGAAACGAAACTGTTTTTGAGGATCTGGCCTAAAGAGTTGATGGTTGCGCTACTACTTTAG